ATGAAAGCGTTGATACGCATAAAGAATATGATTTCGCGACGGGCAAGTACACACATACTTGCAGTCTCTGGAAACATGTGTGAGTATTTGTGGCCTATGTGCGTAACTCTTGCTGCCTTTGCTATGCTTCATATAAGAATGTGACCATTTCGTTTGAGCGCTTGCAGCGCACTGACTTTGTCGTGCAATATTTTCACTGCTCGAACCTCCAGCGACCAAACCGAGCAAATACGAAGTATAGTGGTCGACCAACGTAACATTTTCTGCTGTAGAAAAATTTGTTCTACATGTCTAGTCTATATTTTCTCTGGTCAGTGATATAATTCAAGGATATTGTTGACCAAGTGTGTTCAATACCTTCGATTAACTCTGTTTTTGTACTATACTGCTTTCCGGACTCATACAATTTCCTGACCAACCATCCCCAGACGGTTTTAATGATATTAAGGTCGAGTGAGTATGGTGGCTAGTCTGGTGGTCTGAATTGGGCCATTATCATGCTGGAAAATCTACTGAAGGTTTTCTGACAGGTTTTAGAAATGCAGAGCAGCAGTTGCAAACACGTTGTTATAGTCCCATGCGTTCATGCGCGATGTCAAAAATTGAAGCTTGCAAGTGCCGTAGTAAGATATTGCTGCAATGGCACACCATCCCCCCGGTGCGCGGCTTGGCAACCGTTCCAAATAATGTTCTTGTACATATGCGTAGGTCATGGAAATTGTAATTATAGCCATCAGTTTCTTCCAAATTCAATGTTTCTCATCAGAAAAGACAACATGCTGCCATTGGGTAGACCACGTCATGTTTGCCGGGGCAAAATTAATGCGTATTTCTTTTCTCATATTGACTGGTGTCTTTTTTTTGCATATCCTGAACCCATTGAAAATGGGAACACAGGGTAAAATGGTTAGGTTGAAATGTTTGTAACAGGCAGAAGGAGACGTGGCAGACCCCATAAAGTATATATATTCTTCATCAGGGTGACGAGCTGAGTCGAGTCAAATTTCCTCATATTCATATTCATGGTAACAAGTAACAAGTAACCGCCTGTGTGATACTCGTCTACTATTTTAGCCTCACTTAAATCGTTCAAATGAATGTGTCGTTTGGAAGCAACAAAATGTATCGGTGGAATCGGGTATTCCCACTTCATATTTTAAATGCTAGTGAATAATCGATTTTCTACAGCCCCAGTATACATATGTTACAACTTCCGTGTTTTTAACTTCAATAACGTACAAATGGTTTGCAGTCATACAATCGGAAAGCAAGACGGACATTGCTCAAAACCAATATTAGTTCTTCCCTTTTGAATAGAGTATAATCAAAATTATGACGAGTTATCTAGATCGGATAAGTAATTTTTCTTCATTAATTTATCTGGTTGCTGTTAAAGGTTACTTTTATTTATATAACTAATTAGTCGTAAATGTTTTATAAATATGGTTTTAACTTACGCCTGTTGCGAATCGTCCAGAAAGTTTAAGTTCTTGCTATTATCTCGAGCATTTATCAAAAGGGAACAGGAGAGTAGAAACGTATCGTACAGTTGGTGATCTCGGTAAGATGTGGCTATCTTACGGTTTTTAGAAAATGACAAGTGTGCATCTAGCTCCACAATTGAATTCATTTCTGTTACCAACTGCGACAGAATTTGTACGCCAATAGTACAATGCTCAACCGAGCCCTATTTAAATAAACAAGTGCATTGCTTATAAGGATGGATAGCATTTTTAATATTTACGTACCTGTAAAAACTTTTTTACGTCCTCAAGTATGTTTTGAAAGATGAATTCTCCCTTACATGAATCAAACCATCCATATTTTGTAATTTTTGCTAAAAGTGTTACAAGTGCTTGTACTACAAAGTGTTGCAAATTAAGTCTGGTTGCCAAATAGTTGAGGGCATAGCTGCGAATATCAATTCGTTGTCCGAGAGTTATACCTTGAATGAGTTTTGTGAGGGTAGAAGCTGCAAGAAGTTGGGCATAACTGGAATCAGCTCGATCTAACAGCAACTGGCATTTTGGTAAAGCATCGTTGCTATTAACAAATATCGCCAGTCTCTTTTCAGCATCAGCACGTATGTTTGCATCTGTCGCTTCATAAAGCTGCTTGCACAATATTTCCAATTGTTGGATTTCCTACATCAAATAAATTATTACAAATTACAATAAGAAAGTTCTTGTTAATTGCAAATTCATTTTTAGTTTCACATAAAATACACGCTCTCGACTTAAATTTAAAAAATGCAAATTAATGTAAATACATACATATGTATATGTAAATAGATATATGTATATGCATGTACATGTGCAAATATGTATGTATGTATGTATGTACATATGTATGTTTGAGTATCCAATTGACGATATCTTATACCAAGTCTTAAAAGTTTGAGCAGTCAGTAGTCATATGTATGTATGAACATAAAAACGAAAATGAATTACTAAGCATGTATTTACATACATATTTCTATGTAAATTCATACATATTTTTCAATCTTCATAATACTAAACCATTTTCATCTTAAATAACTAAACATCAATGCTAATTTACTACAACGTATTTTGTTTTTCTAATAGACCAATAAAATAATTATAAATTTACCATAATGCTTTATTAGCTTTTTTTGTAGTTCTTAATGGTTAAATAATTAATGGGGTTTTAATGATTGTCTACGACAGATCCAAGCAAAATAGGTTGTTTTCTTAAGCGTTGCACTGTTTAAAAATTCAACTACAGCAAAGTCCCTTCTTTAAGTACGAATTAAATTAAAATTCTAAACTGAAAGTACCTAAATTGAACTCGCCTATTACTAAGTTTATATACAGTGATGCTAATCTAGCTATTTTCAAGCCAACTCTATCATTAAATGACTTTTGTACTGCTATCAAGGTCTATGCCAAGACTACTATCACTAACCAGAGAACACATAGACATTTAGAACATACTTTTCTACGGCAGAGTATGTTAAGTTGGTGGACCATTATACTTCGTATTTGATAGGCTCGGTCGATGGAGGTTCGAGCAGTGAAAATATTGCACGACAAAGTCAGTGCGCTGCAAGCGCTCAAACAAAATGGTCTCATTCTTATATGAAGCACAGCTATG